TTTAAACTTTCTTTGACAAACATGAGCCATTTTTCAATATCATCCGAAACATGAGGGTTGCTGAGTGAAACTGTGATATCTGGCATAGTGGATTAATAAACAAAAAGCAGAGAATTGGGTTTAATGTGCCCAAATTACTGGGTGATAACTTAAACCATGCTGGCTGCTTCCATCATATCAATGAAAATGTGTGCATTTGCTCATATTTTAAGTGAAAATTTTGAAAGTAAAGAAGAAATGAGCAGTGGTTTGTAAGCAATTACTAGCTTTTTTTATTGCACAAGTTATGACATGTTAAATTAATATGGCTTAATAGATTGCAGGTTCTTTTTTTTTCTGTCTAAAAGACACAGTGTTCTAGTTCTGCAGAATTCCATCAAGATACTTTTTGCACTAAAAGTAAAATAAACCAACAAAAATAACAAGACGCTGAATGACATTTAAAATTTTAGCCCTGCTTACTGATTTTACACTTTATATTTTTCCTTTCTGTATTAGTTATTGATTATTCAGAGATGACTGCTGCATTAAAGTAGAAGTGGTTAGTAGAGATTCAGAAGCTTATCCTATTTAAACTGGTGGTGAGTAGATTAAATCTTAACTCACAGTGAGAAATCTGATTTGTTGACCCAATAAAGTGGGACCAAGAGACAAACTGTCCCAAGTGCCACTTTAGTTCAGACTGAAGGCTAATTTGTCTGACAGAATACAAGGCTTCATGTCTCCAGCTATACAGTGTTTCTAACCTTAAGTCTGGCTCCTTGAGAGTCTGTATTGAAGGAAGGAAAATCTAGTTTTTAAAGACTAAAAATTTACCAGTGTGGGTTTTGGGGCGTTCAGAGGTTGATTTTTGTTTCTTTTTTTTGTTTTGTTTTGTTTTGTTTTGCTTGTTTGAAACATGTTGTGGTATTCACCCAGAATACATGCAGTTAAGCAGGATAGTGACCTATAGATGTTGAAACATAGTTTCTTCTGCTGTATATGTAGGAAAAAAACAAAATATGATTGTAATCTTTTTACAATATGTAGGTTTGTTTTGTTAAGACTCATAAAATGGATCTTGAGTGTGTATCCTGGGTGCATGGTAAGACTTGGTTATAATTGAGTTTCTACTTAGTTTTGTGTCACTTGATGTATTTGGTCAGTGGGAATGACAGGAATATAGTACTGGTCTCTTAAAATCTTATCTTAGTACCTTTCTTTCTTACAAAAGGGAAGATGCTCTCGTGGCTGTTGCCTGGTACATCAGTAAAGCACTAGATTTAATTCTGCCCCTGGACTGGGACAAAGATGAAGGTTATAATTTCCTAAATACTATTTTCTAAACAGAAGGCTGGATTGGCTGGATTGGCTGCTGTCTGTATTTGTATATATTTGTGTGGGTGTGTGTATATATGTATATACGTGTATACAGCTTTGGGCTTTTTTGAGAGGTGGGTTGTGTGTTTGTTTTTAAGACTACACCACTTGGGCCTTAGAAGAAAATGCCATTAATACATTAACAGGTATGTAAGGAGAATTGGGGAAGATTTGCTGAAAATATTAACAGTACTACACTGAAGAGGCTTGCTGGCCATTGAGGCAAGAAGTTGCTTCCCTAAAGTGATAAGCAGTTTGCATAATCTCATTGCTTAAGTTGTCCAGGATATGTTTTTGCCAGCTCAGGAAGCAGAATAAAGAAAGTTTCAGCAATTTGTAAACATTACACCCTCAAGAATCTCTGTGAACACAAGGATGAGATAAGACAGGCTGTAGAGCTAGTTACTCTGTTTATTTGTTCTACTGTCCTGCAGTCCCAAGTGTGCTCAAAAACACTGGGTCGGTGTTGAGTCCGGTTCAGAATCTGAAAGCCTCACTCAGTGCTGGGCAAAGGGGGCCTCTGCAGACAATTATCTGTCATTAGAAAACATTAAAAGAATTGAGACACAAGACCAGATTTTCTTTGATGGGATGTGCAACTATAGTGATGTTCAAAAGAGGTCATTCCTGCCCTTTAGAGCAGGGGTGGTATTGGCTGGGTTTCTGATGGATTTTTATCAGTGTTGATGTGAGGAAATGGCTTTCCCAGCTGATAACATCTTTGACCGCGTTTCTTGAACCCTTGACCTTTATCAGCCAAGGTATATATTGAATCCTCTTGTTAAAAATAAATCCCAAAACAAGTTACGTGGAAAATAAAACTTTGGAAGAAACATTTTTTATAATATTATTTTACCCCAAATTCTGCTTTATTTGTTACAATTTAGGATTTTTATTGAGATGAGAAGAATAGCAATTTATTAAGAAATCCCTCTATAAAAGCTACATATTGAGCCGTGCATTCACGTTCTGGGTAACCTTACTGCCCTCAGCACTCTTAGAAAACAAATCAGTTAAATTGCTCTGTGTTGTTGTTGTATGTTGCTTAATAGTACATCACAACATAGGAGAAAGCAGTTAACAGAAGGTTGGAGCAATATAATTGTTCTCTCAGTAAAAAATAATTTATGCTCAATTTCCGGAATTATGATGTTTTTGTAGATGGAGGGGGCTTGAGGTAGTAGAACTCTGTACCAAAGTTGCAATTTGACCAAGCCGTCAGAATTCATACAAAAGTATTATGTGACTGTGAACACTTGGAGAAGTGGTCACCCATCTTCTCTGATTGATAATACTCTAATCACATCATGATTTCATCAGATTTTAACTGAAAACTCTTTAGGAACTATCAGTTCTCCATGCTCTGCACTCTGGGAATCACTTATTTAGGCAATCTTGATGTTTGTGGCCTGCAAGTAACTACTTTCAGCTTTGTGAGGCAGAGCATCATTGAACTTAGCTCTTTTCAGCCGACTTGGAGAAAAGCTGACTTATACACCATCAGCAGTGGATTTCCCTATCCCATCCAAGGATTCTGAGAGGGAAATCTTGGTGTGCTGTAACCTAGCGATATGGCTACAGTCTGTTCATCTTATAATAGAGAGATAAACTTTACTTATAGTGCTGTGTCAAGTATTGCACATGTTAAATATAAAAGTTAAGGCCCTAATAGGTATATTTATTCTGAACAACAAGGAGTATTCATTTGCATCAATGAAATAAAGTACATCTCTTCATCTCATATAAGCATGTTCTTATTTGCTGAAGTACTGTATCAAATCCTGCTTTAAACTGTGCAGCTGCTAGAATTGAGTGCTGGAAGTGAGGGTGGAATCAGGATTGTTGAAGTTGGCGGATATTAGAGCTTGTGGAAAAGATGATGTAGGTCAGCACAAGGGAAATCCATGTCAGAGAATCCTTATCTGAAAATGCTCTCTGGCTTTTTGTTTGCTTTGTAATGTCAAAGCAGGGTCAAGAATGTGATCCGTAAAGACAGAGTTTTGAACATTTTGGGGTTTTTACAAGAAAATGTTCTTTTTGATGTGTAAGTCTCATTTGACAGGGTAATGCATTTTGGTAGGCCAACTGATAGAGCTGGGAATCGGAGAAGAAGACGCTTCTTTGCTCTTTATCATCTGATGCTGGTGTAATAATATTATTTTCTGTTTCTATAACCCCTGTCATGCTTGTCTCTTGGAACCATCATGACAGGGGCAATGTTACCACTACTTTACATAGTTTAAGAAGCTGCATAATCTGCATAATATTGTTTCTTATGGGGAAAAAAAACAGCCAGTCAGGCCAAGGATAGATCTTCCTGTTTTCACAGACTGAAGATAATAACAATCCTTTATCTGACAGAATTCTCAGAAAAATCTTAGTGGGTGTATGTTTGGGCAGGAAAGAATATGATGTGGGTGTGGTGTTGAGGAGAAGGCAGTATGCCATGTCTTTGTTATATTGTTCTCACAGGAGGCCATGCTGGGAGCAGGAATTGCAGCTTTTGGTGGTGTCTGAGTTGTGTTTTCAAACTCACTTCTACAACTGCTCAGGTTATAAACATTATTTTTGTTGCCTCCTTTTCTGTGGAGAAAAAAAAAAAAAGATACATGCAAGCATTCTGTCCATTCAGTCATCCTTCCCAAAAGCGTTTAGACACTTTCATATGTTTGCAGAACATGAGACTGAAGGTGAGAATAGCAGCAATAATTGACCATCAGTGGCTGGTTAAGGTGAGAATGGCAAATACAGTATCTTCACTGAAGGAAAACACTGCAGCATTGACAGTAGATCTCTGTTATGGTTGGACTGCTGCACATCAAGTCAGCACATGTGTACTGGTTGACATATGTGTTAATAATCAGCATGTGCCATTCTTTCCTGAGCTGGCAGACACGGGGAAGCGTAGGGGAAGAACTGGTGAGTGAATTGCTAGTTAAAGGCAAAGATAGAGTGAGGGAGTTGGAGTTAGTTTTCTGGGTGGATGAAAGATGACAAGATCTGCAGTTTCGTTACATCATTAACTGTTAACACAACATTTGGGAGGCCAGGCAGAGTTTCCATTATCCTACTCCACAGATGACTTATCCATTCCATGTGTGTATATATGCATTTTAGCAATTTATAATTTATTCTATAAATGAACTAACAGGTTAAGACTTACTACTTGTTTACTTAAAATGTTTAGTGATAAAGAGAACATGAGGAAATCATCAGAAATTCCTCTCAGAAGACACACTACAGACAGATATTTTCTTCTTTAGAAGGATCAAATGGGAGGGGGCAAGTCCTCAAATGAATATTGAGGGAAACATTTCTTGATATAATTCGATACAAGAAAGTGTTTAGAAAAGAAAACAATTATCTCAAGAAAATGAGTGATAAAATGCACAATGTCTTGTTGTGTTACTTAAGGCAATGAGATTTTAAGGTTTACCTTATGTGCCATGTATATTGATTAAATACCAAATATATGGTGGCCATTTCTAACCATCATTTACTGTATTGATCTGTCAGCAGTGGAACGGTAATTAAAAAAGCTATTGATTTACTGTCCTAATTTTCTTATGGGCTTTTTATTAATTTTACACATTGTTTCCTATTTCTAGGTTATAATTTTTATGTGTTTTTTTCCCTTTAAGACAAGCCTGGTCCTCTCTGAATTTCGAAAAGAAGAACGAATTGAGGAACAAAGGAATAAAACAATCAGGTGTTTCTTGCTAATTCTTACAGAGCGACAAAGGCTGCGTAAGGAGTGGACAGCAAGGTGAGAAATCTTTGAAAAATGGTAAGATAATTAAAATTGAAAACAAGTATATGAAACCCACTGTTATAAATCCCCTTTATAAGAGTGGGGGCAAGTTGATGTTTAAAAGAAAAATGTAAATTTTTACTGGTCAAATAATATTTTTACTTGAATGGAATAGTCAATTTTTTTGCTTCTGATTTCAGAGTTGCTTGATGGGGTAGAATGTTCCCTTACTGCGCTTATAGAGTGCAGTCTACTGATAATAGCTTGATACTGATATTGGAGGATTGATACCACCCTAAACATTTCCTCACATTGCTTACAACATGAGCAGCACTCTTTCCTGGCATGCCATGCTAATAGCTACCCTTCTTACCTGCTTTCTTCGCAATCGTCGCATTTTCTGGTCCTGTCCAACCAGTGTTTAGTGGGTTGTTTTGGGCAAGACTGGCATAAATTTCTAGACTTTGTGTCATGTAACTGTTTTATTATACTGGAGTTCTTAAATTGAACTCATTGCCATGGTAAATCAGATGGTATTGTTAACAATTTGAAAAAGTTGTTGAAGTTTTTATTTGAAAAGGTTTGTTACTAAAATGTAGTCAGATTAATGCATTTCAGAAACTACAGATATGTCATACTTGTAATTCATTCGGAAGTACATGAATTCAAAAAGGAGAATTTCCACCATGTGCTACTTTGTGTCCTTGTTTTAGCTGCTAAATGAGTTGATGTCACCTTTTTTCACACCTGTTTCTAAAAGCTATATATTTATAATCATTAAATAATATTTTATTTTTTCTTATTTGTGATACATAAAATTTGTAACAGTCTGAAATATTTCTACCAAATTTACAATTTTCCTTTAAAATGAGATGTCCTGTGCTTACAATTCAACACAGTTTTTCATCAATAGTATCTTTAATAGGTTATGTTAATCAAAATTAGCAGTTCATTGGCATGATATTTTTTCACCTGCACTAAAGATTCCAGTTAAGGGAGTTCTGTGTTTTGTTAGTGTATAATACTGGAAAGATCCTGAAAGTTCTGCAAGATTGAGTTTGAAAAGTGAATTGTCGATATGGGATCTGACAGTTGAGTGGCTTTGCTGTTCCCACTAATTACAGTGAGTGGACTTGAAACAGTTGAGAAGCTTTAGATAAAAATTAAACATTATTACGTAGTAGCAATTATTATACAAATTACAGGCTGTGTTTTGTAAGTTTCCATTCTTGTGAGTATTGAATCTTTCTTTGCATACTAATCCATTAAGATCTCAGAATACAAAAGAGTTTAGTAAGGAGGGTCTACAATATTGTTGGTATTATCATGTGGCTTTTGTTTGTTCCTTTTTGAGGAATTTAAGAGGTTTTTGTGGGGTATTTTTGCCTTCTATCACCATGCCTACTAAATAATGCAAATGGTTCAGCTACACTGGAAACAGAAAACCATGTAAGGCTTTTCTGTGGGCCACATACATCTCTGTTGTGAACGTGAATAGAAAGCTTCCTAGAGATAAGAAAAGGCTGAACAATCCTAATGAGTGGAATATCCTTTTAGTGTTTGTTTAGTTTAACAATAATTCCCAATATACAAAGTCATCAGGAATTGTGGCAATCTGGACTCATTTAAAAGCAATGAGTATTATGGTACTTCTGGCCTCTGCTTGCTCTTCACAATGTAATCAGAGGCTGGTGTTGTAGACATAGTCTAGTCTTTGACAGAGAAATGCTGAAGTTCTTGTGTTGGGGGTGGGGAGAGGCACAAGCAGATGAAGTGCAGGCCTTTTTAAAACTAAACACCTGAAATAAAATTTCAGAACATTCTGCCTTGAAAGTTCTGAAAGAAAGTGTCCTTTGAGTATTAAATATCCATAATCCTTTTCTTTCCATTTGATGTTTCCCATTCCAGTGACCTATCTGAGAATCTCATCCATATGATGTGCATAAACAGACTGTTACCATACACCTCACTTTACCTCATCAAAGCTTCAGCTAGATGTCTGGAATGAAGCACTGACTGTGGCAGCCATCGGGCATACAGTGGTGAAAGTTATAAAACGTCCGCTGTGGTACTAGCAGGGCTGCCCATGGTTTAGAGATCAGCCTATTGTGTACTTTGGAATTACATGAGAAAAATGTGCTTGGACAGGAAATAATTAGCACTTGTCAAAGGGCAGGCAATAGGTTACAGTATTTTACTTTCAATGGGCTATCAGGGGATCAGCTAGATTAGATAATAGATTTTTTTTCATCAGGAAGTTAAATACAGATGACTCTAATTACTTTACATTGTGCATTAGAGAGCACATTATGAACAGTACAACTTCAAGAAATTCAGGTCAATGAAGGGAGGGCAGCTGCCAAAACTTTACTGGGCTCTTGGTCTTTGCAGAGTTACGTAAGCATTCTGTTCCTCCATGGGTTTTATTTGCTTCATTGACACCTTACATAAAAAAAAAACAAAAAAAAAAAAAACAAAACGTGCTGGGAACTGTTACAAAATGAATGATTAAACTTTTAGAAAGATACCCTTTCTCAGAGAAAGGCATATGACCTGTTTCGGTATGTGTCTACTGGGATATAGTATGTCCTTGCATTATTTGCTTTAAGCCTTATCACTGTCTATGCATATTAATAAACTGAAATTACTCTTTCAGTTTTTATTCCAGCTTTGTAGCCCAAAACACATGATAGTGCACTTAGTGTTATGGCTCAAAATTTCATATGCTTTTGACTAAAAGGTGTCATCAGTATTTTAAGTACCTGAGCAGATCTTGTATGGGTTCAAGTTGTTCTGTTGTTGAGTGGTAGTGATCCAAAATACTGCTCAGGTAGGACTCAGTGAATGTCTTCTAAGTGTTAACAGAAATGGTCCAGAGTCTCTGAAGCCCCAGATTTGTTTATACTGCACGATAGTGCCTGATGGACAGGTTATTATAGCTGTTAAAGAGCTGCTCTAGCCCTTTGAACTGACCCCTTATTGACCTCTGCTTATAGAAGGTCACTGTGCAGCTTATAAAGTAAGGGGAACCTTAGATTCTACTGTAACAAATAGAGGATAAAGGGAACAGCTGTGAATTTTGGATGAACCATGCAAGCCTGTATAGTCTTTTTAGGGTCACTGTATGATAATGAAAATTGTTACCAAATTATATGGAAATTTAACAGCAATAGTGGGAAAGAGAGGGTGGAGTCTGATGCATTGGATTTGATAAATGAAGTGTGAAGTTACCCATCTGGCTCTAGACAGCCCCCTTTTCTCTACAAAAGGAAAACATTTAAAAATAACCATGGTACATCTAGAATCAATGACCCATACAGAGAGCTGGAATAGATCAAGATTTAATGGTGGCTGTGGAAGAAATTATCATTTGAAAAGTGAAACAAAGGATGAAAAAGTACAGTTCAATATCTGCACCTGATTAATTTTCCAAAAAAGCCTTAATATTTTTATCCCATTGATGATACTATTGACATTTTTTATTTTACTTTTTAACTGGAACCAGAAAAAATGTTGTATCAGAAAGGAAGAGTTTGACCAAAGAGTGCCTGAATTTCAAGAGGGAATGTTGCACTTTTCCTATTCAGTAAATGCCCAGGAGAACTGAACTGTTGTTCAATTTCTCCTTATAGAACTTGTATCATGTTATAGTTGTATTCTATTTAATATTTGCACTTAATTGCTAATAGTTTCTTGAAATGCTTTTCATATAAATACATTTGCTACCAAACTAATTTGTCCTCAATAAATCAACAATAGATTAACATAAAAAGATAATGTTTAACTGCATTGAAATGGTTAACTGCAAGGAAAAAAAGGTTATTCAAATTATTATTAAAATAAGTCTCTTTTCATGCATAAATCTTATTCTTCCAAAATGGCTTTATTATGATGCAGACTCTGATGTCCATTTCACTATTTCCCTGAATGGAATTGAACCATATCTCGTAGAGGAAATTAGGACAGGTAATGGAAAATGTGAAGTGTTGGGGATAGAATCATAGAATCATAGAATAGTTACGGTTGGAAAGGATCTTAAGATCATCAAGTTCCAGCCCCCCTGCAGTGGGCAGGGACACCTCACACTAAACGATGTCAACCAAGGCTCTGTCCAACCTGGCCTTGAAAAGATAGGCATAATAAATAGGAAAGTTTGATAGGAAAGATAAAATTATTTATGATTGTTGTATTTTCATAGTTGTGGTACTTAAGTTTTCTCCAAGTCACCATGTAATGACAAATTGACATCGTGAAAAGAGAATAAGCATTCAATAAATAATTTGGACCAAAGTAAACACAAAACTCATCTGGTTCACGAGATAAACAGCAGAAAAGTATTAATTGATTATATCTTTTAACAATCAATAGCATAAGACCTTGCTTCATTGAAAGAACACAATGAAAAAAATATTTTTTGTGAGGTCATCCACAACCCATAACTTTTTGTTAATCAAGTCACTGTGTATTTTTGGAATTGTTATATTTTTCCACTTTTGCACACTTCAGGAATAAACCTCTTACTCATGAGAAATCATATAAGTTTCAGGTTTTACATCAAACTTGAGGTATAATTCCTTAGCATTCTTTGCCTTTGTCAAACCCCTTCTTAGATCTCACAATTATGAGAGGGCAATGTAAAGGTGTGTATTTTTTCTAGCTACACTGAATGTTTGTCTTACTACTGAGATAGTCTTACTGCTCAGCAGTGAGATCTGGGTTATGTGGATATTTATGTAGGAATTTAAATTGTATGTACATAGTGTGACAATTGAGTCCTAATCTCAGTTTTATACTGTGAATGCTGTTCAGATTTATAGTAAGAACAACAAAGAATATGACAGTGAAATCATAAAGCGTGTGCATGTTAAATGAGATACACACAACTGTTATGGTTAGTTTATGTAACATTGGAATGACAAGAGTTTTTTTCATGTTGAGGATTCCAGTGTCCATGTTTCTGAAATTATTAAGAATCTCAGTACACACACCTGCGACATCTCCAATTCACTTTCTCT